TTTGCTCTCCGATAATCCAAAATTTTCTTCTTGTTTTCGCCGCTGTCGACGCTATCCCAGTGTGAGTAATCTGATGTACATCTTTGGTAATCAGGTATGAAATGTGGTGGTTCTTGGGAAGAAGTACTGGATGCTTCGAATCATACGTTACGATAGCTTTATCCACTCGTCCGCCGACTCTTATGATTCCTTTGTCATCTGTGAATGGACTAAGCATATTGAACTCTTTGTTCTTAACACGTTCGTGTAACTCTTTTTGTGCTGTCTTGATCCATAACTCTTCGGCCTGTTCTAACTCAACAGTTGTTAACGGGTCGACATTATCTTCGGGTTTCGTTTTTAATCGTAGATTTCGTATGTATCGTAAGATCCACGCCGTCACTCTCACCAATCTCTTCCACTTCGAAAATTTCGTTGGGTCAATTACTGTCGGTACGGTGCTTAAGGAAAAGGCTGCTTGGGTATTTCGACGTTCTTTGTCGAGTTCCGCGGGATCGATTGGCATAGCTGGTTGTTCTGGCCATTCTTCTTTGGGTTGATTCAGGAACTTTGGGCCATTCTTCCAACGGTGTTCTAGATCTTTCGCTGGAATGCCTCTTGATAAATCATCGGCTACATTGTGCTCACTTGGTATGTGTCTCCATGTCGATGGATCACAATTCGTTTGAATTTCCGCAACCCTGCTCGACACAAATGGTTTGAATTCTCTTGACTGACTACGGATCCATGTAAGGACTATCATACTGTCCGTAAAGAAAATAACTCTCTCGAACTGTAAACGACATTCTTCTATTATGGTCTTGTACAATCGACTAGCTAGAACTGCTGCCTGTAGCTCCAAACGAGGTATTGTCAATTCTTTAAGAGGGGCAACTCTCGACTTAGCAGATATAAATCGACTTTCATAATTACCACTTGACTTTTCCCAGCGTAAATAAGAACATGCTCCAAATGCATCTCGAGACGCGTCCGCAAAAATACAAAGTGACGGTAGTCCAATAGTGTTCGGTGGTGTTAAACTTCTTGGGAACGAGACATTATTTAAGTCATCGATTTCTGCAAAAAACTCAGTCCACCACTTTGAAACCTCAGATGAAAGTTCTTCGTCCCAATCTAATCCTTGCTGCCAGAGTCGTTGTAAACCGATTTTTGCACGGATCAGGAACGCCGCTGCGAATCCAATTGGATCAAATACACGAGCCACTTTACTAAGGATCTTTCTCTTTGTTAATTTCAACTCGCTTGAATTTTCTTGTGACGGTACAGATAGTTCATTAGCTTTACATTTAAACGTGAAAGCGTCCTTACTATTGTTCCAGACAACACCTAGAATCTTTTCTTCGGATTCACCTTCCAAAAACTTAACACTTGATCTTTCTTCAGACGGTAGATTTTCTTCTAGAATTTCGTTCGATAACCACTCTTTCACTTTAAAGCCTCCTTTATCTAAGATTTCGTCGAGATCTTTCGTCAGTTGCCGGGCACATTCGACATTGGGTACGGAATCACAAATGTCATCCATGTACGTATTCTTTTTCAACACTTCGGCTGCATATGGATGAGCGTTTTCTGCTTGGTCTGCCGTCTTTCTCAATGCAATTTGTGCCATTGCCGGTGCTGGTTTGTCACCAAAGGTTAACACAGTTTTTACGTAAGTGTCTGGTGGTCTAGTTGTATCCATATCTCGCCACAAAAACCGATGTACATGCTGGTCTTCTTCAGGTATTCCAATTCTGTGATACATCTTTGATATATCTCCGCTTACAGCGACCGGTTGCTCTCTGAATCTGAGGATAACTCCCAACATGCTGTTCAAAAGGTCAGGACCTTTTATCCAACAATCGTTAAGACAGTGTCCCTTGTATCGTGCTGAAGAATTAAATACGATTCTTACTGGCGTGCTCTTCTTATCAGGTCGAACAACTTCATGGTGAGCTATATAGTGAACGGGACCTTTGTAATCATTTATTTCTTTTTCTGTTAGCTTTCGTGAAAACCCGAGATCTTCCATCTGCTCCATTTGTTCTTGATATGCTTTTGCATCCTGTAGATTCCCTTTCAATCGTTTTTCAGTTGCTTCCATCTTCTTCACAGCTTGTTCTCTGTTGTCGGGAAGGGTTTTGGGGTCAGTTTTCCAAGGGTACGCCATTTCCCACGTATTTCCAATTAGCTTGCATCCTTGCTCGATTAGTTTGGTTTCTTCTTGCTCGATCTTGCTCAACTTTGGAAATTTCAATATTTGATTGACTAACTCCCATTGCTTCGCTCGTCCAAAAGTCAGTGAGATCTACAGGTCTTGTATACTGGACATGAAATATTCTACTGGTTTGCTGCAAGCCTGGTATCGCTCCAAAAATAATCCAACCAAGAGGTGAATGTCTCGCAACAACGTTACCGACTTTCTTTGAATCTCCAGTATGCATATAAGCGTGATCAATCCCAATAAGCATATCGATTGGGCCACATTCTCGGTAAATTTTCACTTCAGGGATTCCAATTCCTTTTGCCATTTCACCAATATTGATATTTGAAATGTCATCGCTAATATGTGGAATTCCAACAGCTTTGACTGTGAACTTCGCACCAGACTCCAATGACGTAATGGGAACTTGATATACTTTTGTCGCCAACACTTCTTCTTCACCGCCCACTTTTCTAATAGTTATCGAAACATCCTTTCCCTTTAAATCCAAATTCTTTGCTGTACTTGTACAAATCAGACTTATTTGTGCTCCAGAGTCGAGTAGAATGTTCCCTTGTTTGTGTCGATTGTTCTTTCCAGATATCTTCACTGTTATAACTGGCAGCATTGCTTCCGTGTTGTTTTCTACCGATGCTACACCCACTGATGCTGCAGGATTTGAAGGATGCAAAAGAATATGATGATAATATTTACATTGAACGCCACTTATTTTCTGTGTACACTGCTTCCTTCTGCTACAGTTTGATGCTCTGTGGTCACGTCCGGCCTTCTTAAGACAACTGAAACAAGCGTGGTTTTCTCTTACTGTTTTCAAACGGTCCTCTGGACTCATGGACTTAAATTTTTCACATTGGTCTACCCAGTGCGTTGAATTGTCGCAGATCCAACACTTTGGTGGTTTTCCTCCAGATAGCTGATTGACATATCTCGAACCCTGACTCGGATTTCTCAGTGGAGCAGTTGCACGCATCCTCGACTTCATTTCCGTCTCCATCCAAGCAATGAGACCTTGTAAGCTTGCTGGCTTTTCATTCCTTTCCAACTCACGAGCCCAAATCTTTCTATCTTCCACACACATTTTCTGTTCTATTAGTGATAACATGTGATTGTTATCCATATCATGGGGTTTTCCCACTCCCTTCATCGTATTGAAACTACGCTTTACTAAATGCACCAGATCACAAAAGCGTGAATCTTCTCCTTCTTTCAGGGGTCGGAACTTTGACAGATCTTGGGTTACTTGGTCCGACACATATCTGGGGTCTCCATATATTGAGTCTAAATATTGCCATGCACCATCATAATCTGTACCAATTCCTTTGATAAGCTCTAGGGGTTTTCCCTGCAAGCATGCACGAAGGTACGTCATTGCATCTCGTTTAGTGTATCTAGATTCAATAGCATGCTTAAAGTCATCTCGAAAAATACTGTACTCTCTGACATCACCATTAAATCGAGGCATTTTTGGCTTCTCCATTTTGAAACCGCAAACAGGTTGAACATTTGAAATACTTTGGGCACCCTTACTTGAACTTGGACTATTGTGTTCTTGACCTTGGTGGGTTGGGGGTTGACCTTGGTGGGATGGGGTTTGACCTTGGTGGGATGGGGGTTGACCTTGGTGGGATGGGGTTTGACCTTGGTGAGATGGGGGTTGACCTTGGTGGGATGGGGGTTGACCTTGGTGGGACGGGGGTTGACCTTGGTGGGATAGGGGTTGACCTTAGTGGGTTGGGGGTTGACCTTGATGGGATAGGGGTTGACCTTGGTGGGATGGGGGTTGACCTCCATGGGTTGGGGATTGACCTTCATGGGTTGGGGATTGACCTTGGTGGGATGGACCTTCACCTTGGTGGGATGGGCCTTGACCAGACCCAGGGATACCGTCATGCTCTTGCTGCCCATTGTCACTAACAGTTGTCTCGGTTTGATTGGGCACTAAACCTGTTTCTGGGTTTGTTTCATTTTCAAACTGACCTTGTGACTTGACCTTTAAATAATCCTTTGTTCTGATCCTTATCTGCATAAACCTCTGTTGACAATCTTCAATCCATTCTTCCTCAGTTGCAAATTCTTCATCGCCATCCACCAACTGAATATATTCGTCGTGTTTTTCAACCAATTTCTTGTATAAATCTTCCAAATTAGCGAGTGATTCCTCAACTTCCGGTATAGGTCTCTCATTTTTCAATAAATAATCCAAGCCATTTCCTGCCCCTGTAACACTCGATTTTGCACATCTCCGCTTCTTTTTCGCTTCGTTTAACGCTTCCTTCGTTACCTCCGTCATTTTCTGAATATCCTTTAAGCCCTGGTCAGCTAGAAATCGAATTTATGGCTCGCCAGAATCAGAATTACCGGTTTGTAAAGTGACCACAAATAATTTCCAAATATCGTATAATAGTTGTAGTATTTAATAGTAGTAGTAATATTCGATCTAAAAGTATAAATACAAGAATTATCTACTGAATAAAGTAAATTAGTAATAATAAACAACATGAACTTACTTCTTTGGCCTATATCACGTTACAATACACCAAATATAAACCTATTTCTGAACGTTAAACCTCGAGTAAACAGCTTAAAACCAACGTGTTTATTTTCCGCTCTTTTCTGTCACGTGACTTTGTCTGTTCAATGACGTAATTATTTATCTATTTTTAAATTAGCGAAACAATGATGTTATTAAAGAAATCGTTGATTTTGGACAATTTGTTATGGAAAGGGGTTCAAATATGAAGATATAGTTATAGGTGAGTGTACTCAGTTAATTTGTGTATTTAGCGAAAATAGACAAAAAATCATAAAAAAATAAGTATGGCCTTGATTATTGCCATTCAAGTTTTATATGATTTATCAAAGGAGATTCTAAAAGTTGACCTACTTTTCGTTGTCATGGGCAACGATCACGAAACAGTCAGCTGCTCAATGTAAGGGATATTATATTTCCAATAACAACATTCATTGCGCATTCAAGACGATATCTTGAAGCATAGTTAATGCTTGAAGGGACGTATGCCATGGTGGAAAAGACCGAGCGAACTATACGTGCTATAATTAGTTTATAATTCACAAGCAATTTTTCATTGAAAATAAGAAACAATCAACAATTGATACTGAATAATCGCAAAATAGCGCACTATAATAAGCTTTTATTTATCACCAGTTCAAAGGTCAGCTGTCGCAAATGATACAGTACTTATTGCTATACAAAGACCCAATTATTACATAAAATACTCACACAACGGGCGCATATTCTAACAGACGCATTACTGACAACGCGTGCAACACGCGCGCAATATGGCCGAGTTCTATTACGAACAAGAATATCGTGAATTTGATATGCATTTAGCAGAACTTCAGAATGAAATATTGGGATATTCTTATAAATTATATCATAAAACGTTTGTCGATTGGTATGTTATTAAAATCATATATAGTGATATCGAATATATGCTGATGATTGAGTTTCCATTTACAAAAGTTTGTTGGTTAAAGAATATGCCTATAGTTATAAAAAATTTTGATGTTCGAAAGCAAACATGTGAGAGTGAAAAATTGACAACAAACCGACAATTTCATTATATATATTTTGCTGCAGTGGGTACAATTTTAGGTTCGATGGAAAATCACATTAGATTTGAAGATTGTTTTGCACAAATGATAAATGATGATGACTATGATATAATGGATGTTGTAAAGAATGTTGCCATGGAAACACATGTTTTGATGTCGCCGGTTTTTGTGAAATTAGCACAAATGGCGCGAAACAGTTGTATACATATTTGGAATGAATGAGATTTCGCTAGTGTGTTATATAGGCCATTAGTCCGAAGAGGTAGCGTCTGATTAAGGCGATAGATATATTGTGTATTCATTATTAAGAGCGGTTGTCTGTAATAGTCAGGTAAGACGTGTAAAATGAAAAAATTCAAAATCTTTCAAACTTTGTCAGAATGTAGGCCTATATGAAGTATTAATGTTGTGAAAGTTTTATTTCGATCGGATAAATATTGAAGGAGAGAGACGTCGAAATTGGTTTTCCCAGGCCACTTTCGGTTTTTAGAGGTCATTTTACGGCACTACCAAAATCGCTCTATTTTGCACGTTAATGAGAATATTTCACGAAATATGATTTCGTTTTATAAATTAGAGTTATTTATTGAGTAGCAGACGAAATTTAGAGACATTTCTGTAAAAAGTGAATATTTTACAGATTTTCTTAATGTTTTTTTATTTTTGAACCTCTTTATTATATGTCATATTAGGCAGCGAATATCTCCATTGTTACATCGATTCAGACAAAAAATTCATAACCAGGTCAAAGAAATATGTTTTTGCTTGCTATTGATCAAATAAAATTTTGGGGCAACGTAGAATTGAATTTTTGACGAATTTTTTCGTAACCCCTATTTGACCCGAATAACCGTATGTTATGTAATCAACGTCGAGTCATGTAGTTCTATAAATAACCAAAGAGCTCGTCAAAAGCGTTTACTTCTTCGAGTAAACAAGCCTAGGCCAATAAAACTACCTTAGCTAAATCTGTACGATTGACAGAAAGCATTTAGGTATAAATCACACTGTTTACAGTCGCTTATTGTTCAGGTAATGCCTATAATATATTGTATAGCCGCCGCCGCTGATTTGGCGGATTTGGTTTTAATTATATTTTATCGGGGATATGCCGCGATAAGTATAGCAAGTGTATTTTCTCTCCCCTTCCCATAAACATCTGTTCTTTCACGACTCGTCATGCTTATAACTTTTCGAACATAAATAGTGCACGCGCTTTTTGTCAAAAACATCGGTCATTTTACGTTGAAATTGTAATTCGTTTACTTACAGTAGTTAATTTAATTAATATTAAAGCTGGATTCTTTCACCATGATGTCACGCCAAAAGGTGTCTTTTCTATTTTTAAAAAAGACCCGCTGTTGATTTATGATTTGGTAATATTTACTACAGTTGTATGTCTCGTATATTTGATTATTTTGTTGTTGCTCAATAACTTTGGTCAAACTTCAGACCAAACTTCTACGCACTGTTACTTATTAACTGGCCATCACTTTTAAAACAGCAAGAAGATAAAGACAACGTGTACGTGTGAGTTATCCATGAAATAAATAGTTGGTTTACAAAATGAATTCCGTCTTCGTGGATAAAATTAATGAGTTATAAATAATCTCTCCTGTTTGTGTTAAGCTACATGTAGGGATTTCCCCCGGTATATTTCTTCTCTTTTGTATGGCTGTTTGTGGTTACGCGTTATCTGACATATACTTTTGGTCCAATTTCAATTACATTTATCCAACCATTTCTGAATGATACATCTAGAACACTCAGACAGTTCTCAGGCCAAAAAAGTCAACTTGAAAGGGGGCCCAACTTTCCCAGAGGGGGCCCCGGAATGCTGGAATTGCGCATAGTGTTCTAAAATTGAGGTCGAAAAAGGTCTGAAAAGTATTTTGAACCCCCCATTATCGCAAAAATAATTTTTGGAACGTTTTTCCCAAAAAACGTCGAAGAAGATACAGGCTTGCAAATAACACTCTAAATAGTGTTTTTGATGGGGATTCGAACAAGACTATTATAAAGACGATATGTTTGAAGGGGTCGAAGTTATTTTCGGCGAAATGTATGGCTAGTCTATACTTTTGTTCAGACAATCGCGTGAGCTATCCCAACCGGAAATACGACTAAAAAAACGTCAAAACAATGCGACGTTTCCATCGTATGTCCTTGCAAATGGCCTATGCTTTTTACAAAAAGCGTGTGCACTATTTATGTGAGAACACGAGTTTATGGGAGGGGGAGAGAAAATATACTCGCTATACTTATCGCGGCATATCTCTGATAAAATATAATTGAAACCAAATCTGCCAAATCAGCGGCACCGGCTATCGAGTATCGGGCATTAGCTGAACAATAAGCGACTGTAAACAGTGTGATTTAGACCTAAATGCTTTCAGCCAATCGTACAGCTTTAGCTAACCCTTCCCCCAGTTTTTTGGGCAGTCGGGCAATATTCGATCAACAGTCGGGCAATTTTGGTTTGAAATAAAAAAAAATGGGACAAATTCTGTCAATTTTGTGCAAAATTAAGTCAATTTTTTGGCAAATTTTTTGATTTTTCGAAAATTTGTGTTATGTTCCGAAAAATATTGGTTGTCCGGAAAAATTTTTTGACCCCTAAAATAGTACACTGACCGAAATTTTTTTGGCGACGAGGGGGGGGGAGGTCGCCAAAGTAATTTTTCCGGAAAAAATGTTTTGGTACTAGTCGGGCAGAATCCCGAAAAGTCGGGCAATTTTCTTTCCGCCCTCCTATTTTTTTCCTTCCGGTACGCCCATGTATATAAACGTTACGTATATTGCGGGATATACAAGTTTATTTATTTGAAAAAAATATATAGAATAGGAGATAATTTGCATTTCGATTAACTATGTGTGACATCAATAGGAAAGCAATGTATAGATTTAAATCTTTTTCTTGATTTAAATCCGGGTTGTTCTAATCATCAATGGCATGTTCAATGCGTGTTTTTAGAAGAACAACCTATACACCCTATTCATAAATGGCTGCCGATTAAAAATTATTTTATGTGCATATAAATTGGCCCAAGTAGCCTCGTTTCTGGGTAGAAATTCCTTTGAAATCTTAACATGAGTACGAGGCTAGGTGGGCCAATTTATATGCACATAAAAGAATTTTTAATCGGCAGCCATTTATGAAAAGGGTGTATGGTTGATAGTTTTTTAAGTGTTGGTTGCGATATTTCAGTAGATCAATGAATGCGTGAACAAACCGAATGTTCGGGTATTATTCGGAATATTTATTGAATGAATTAATAATCAAAGAGTGTAAAAAACTATTGAATAGAGAACCTTTGAAAGATGTCACGAATAAATAATTTGGTACCTTTGAGACCCGATGCGTCAGCAAGAATTAATGAAACCGATGTGATTATTATTAAACTTTTACAATCTTTGGAAATGTTGCATTTTGGTGTAAATCGTGAAACGATAGATATTTTTGTAAAAGATACTATATATGCGGGTTTATTGTTTTATGCATGCGTATGTGTATAAACGACCAAGCGAAAATAATTTTTGGGTGGCTGTGATAACGGGTGTGCATGGGTGCCAAAATTCCAATTAATATATTTATATAGGATACTGGAGTTGAGATAAAACATAACATGTACGAGATTACGAGATTTGATAATTTTTTGAACGATCTTGTTTTATTGTGTAAAGGAAATTCTGTACCGTCTGCGGATATATGTGTTATGACTGGTTTGAGACAGAAATATGTTTTATATCCGCAGGCTTTTATTGAAGATTTTATTGAATATCGTGTATCAAAGAAAGAAAAAACAAATGATATGTGATTGTAGTATACGTCAACCCAATGAATTTGTTGGCGAGAATGAAAAATTATATGTTTATAAAGAAATAGCTGAAGATAGTGAAGTTTTCGAATTTATGAAAGGATTACTATGTGAAAAAAATTATATTGCTACTGTTGGTCCTCGTCAATGGCCTACGCTTGTGATTCATGGGTATATGTTACGGATACCGCAATACTATTTTTATTTTTTACAATGTATTATGGATGCTACTGAGATACGTACAGTGATGATGGGTGTTATTTCGTGGAGATATCGGTTTCATTGTGTGGATAAAATTAAATTTGATATATATCCGCTGTCATCAACGTATGCTGAAGGACGACGGAAGTTTAAAGTACCCGGTATAGGTGTGCGTGTTGAAGGAATACATATCACTATGCCTGTTGATGGTGGGGAGATTCGTGAAAGAATAACGGGCGTGGTTAATCGTGTGATAAGAACAGTATGTTTAGAACATTATATGTCAAAGAAAGATATTAATATTACGTAGTTGTATATCAAAACATGATGTTTTATTATCCATCCGCTTATTAGGAATTTTAAAGTATACACGTATTTGATTGCAATATGTAAAGGGTACGTGTCCAGCTGGTGTGGGTGTGGCTCGTGTGCTGCGGTGGCTAAAACCGAAACTGGTCAGTTGTGTATGTGTACTAAATTGTGTAACCAAGTAAAGAGTTATTATCCTGACGCAGGTCTTCTACAGTGATGAGGTGTTTTTTAAAACCGTGTGATAATGAAGAAAATTAAAAGATATACGATATTTTGTCTACGGCAACGAAAGAAGTAAATTGTCCTTTTAAAGTGAAAACATGTTATTTTATATTTGAACGTATAATATATAATGCAAAATATTGGTTGTTTGTGACGGGAATACAGTATGAAGAGGACAACGGCATGATATAACATTTCAATTTACAATGAAAAACCTCAATGCAAATTTGGGTCCACATATTAATCCAAATGTACAATTGAAATATAAACCTTCAACGGCAGAGGGACGTGTATATCAGGCCCGTAGCGGGGGGGGTGGGGGACTGGGGGGGGGACTGGGGGGGGGGAGGGTCAGTGCCCCCCACTCGGAAATAAAATTGAAATTATGCCCCCCCTCCTTATTTCACTTTTTTGCCATTTAAAAAAAATAGACAACGCGGCTGTCATATCCGAGTCAAAACGTCAACAAAGGCGTAACCTAATTTCTTACTAATTTTATATTTTTGTATTAATTTAGATAAAAATGTCCACAAATAGTGCGTGATTTGTAATTTTGTTTTGTATTTTTCTTTACCATGGATTATATCAATGGTTGAGGAACCAATCAAAATTATGAATTTGTAATATTCCATGATTGAATGTATACTAAACAAAGATAGCTGGGCTGGGTCAATAAAGTCGTATGCATTACACCTTTGGTATAAAAATTTTGTCAATTTTTGTATGAAAATAGATTGCTTGTTAAAAGCTAGGCTGGATAGCAGACGGCTGAACTAACCCTATCCAGAACTTTAAGAGGGCCTCTCAGTAAAATCCACTCACTGGTTTGGGGAAGGAAAAATAGATTTAGCTCATATTTTGCATATGAACTAGACTTTGGTCAATATTAATCGAACTTCTTTCCGAACGTTTCAACTTTCTGTTTTACAGGATTTATAGCCTTGTTAAAATTTGACCTTGCGAGAATATTTTCAGACCGGAAATGAAGGGGAATTTTACAAGAATTCATCTAATTTTTTAAAACGTTATGAGGCGTTTATCCCCTTCAGTTACTGTTCACATGCAAGATTAACACTAATACTCTCGTTTACATGGAGATTGAACAACTTTATTTGCTTAATACGGTTTTTTTTTATAGTTTTACGAAACTATGTTTTCAAGATGGCAACGAGAGGCTAAAAATTGCTCATATTTTACTTAAAATAGCTCAAAAGTGGCACCTATCTGAAGTTCAAAAGGCATGTAATTTGAAAGTATACCTACTAAAGTTAAGTAATCAGGAATAAAACTCGTCTGCAAGCAATTTTCTGAAAAGTTATAAATCTCCAAATTGGGTCTATTTTTAGCTGTTTGTTTACATTCGCGTGTTCGCTGATCAGCGACACTAGTAATTGAAGAGTTAAATTAAGCTGATTTAGTACCCATGAGTAAACTTTTTTAACTTGTTCAAAAGAATATATACAATTTTGTGAAAATATAATTACAATATATACAAGCGATCGTGTACAGAACATTCTTGAATTCGAATTGCTTTACATTTATACTTAACTTACACTTGCACTAATTATACACTTTCAATATACACATACAGTAGTACAGTTACAACGAGTAGTACAGTGTCTACGACCCTGATATCTTTTAATGTTATTAAATAATATATTGGTAATATAATAAGAACTTCGTCAATACATTGATACAATACCATAATCTCCCGATTATGACCTTGATCTGCCGCTCCCACGGCGGGAGGTGCATGTCTGAACGACCAATGTGAGTAGAAAACTTACATAAGTGTCTCTGTGCGATGTTCAGGTCATGAAATAGTGCTACAGGTAATATCGGTTTAATGCACTTTGCAGAAACTCCCATGATTTTGATGTCGCTCAATATGATAATCACAATCCTGTTTAGCCGAAGGGTTGCTATTTTTATGAAAATGCGTGTACTGACCCAAGTCTAGCTCGATTAGACAAATTTGGGTAACGTTTGTTTATACCCAATTCACAACTTTATATAACACACATGCCTAGTTACTATGGTTCTAGATTACAAAAGCATAAAATAGAACAAAGGTAACTAACTCTTATTGTTATATAGTCTTATAACTCTAATTGTTAGTTAGTGTCAAAGTTCAATTTTTCTATTTGCCGATTGTCAAAACCGTGTCACGTGCCGGTCCGCAAAACCTCATGTTCGGCAACCGGTTAACCTGCAGTTCAGGCCCTAATTCAAATTAGGGCCTGAACTTCAGGTTAGCAACCGGTCCGCAATGAAACATTTATTGACCAGTCAATAATAAAATGGGTGCAATACGCATGCGTGTCAACCGCGAAGTTTCAAAGTTCATTTTTTAAACTTTTTATTTACGGCGTTCCATTTATCCAGTTTTGGTTTCAAATTAAGTTCACTCCAATAATCGGTGAATTATTCATACTTTAACACTTATATACTATCTATAAGTGGCTCTGGTCCACAAAACACACTGTTTCCCTCGATCTCAGTAAATATAAAGTGATAATACGTAAGTTTAATGTTTAGTTACTTTTGTTCCATTCAGTCTATGCTTCTGCATGTAAACTAGAATAATAGTAACTAGGCATGTGAGTTATCCAAAGCTGTGAATTGGGTAGCAACGATGTAAACAACGTTAGCCAAATTTGTCTACTGGCTTCATTTTTATATAAGTCTATCCACTGATCTCATATTGACAGGATAAACCCAATTGAAAACGAAACTGATCTAATAACAGACTGGATAGTCATGTTTGTCAGCTGTTCCTGGGTAGGTAAAAGTGCCCTGCTCTGGCAAATATAAGTTCACTCTCGTTGATGGTAAGCCTCGTGAGGTGACAACTGCTGGGGTGAGTACAAATGTCTGCATTACACTCCCCAATTTGTGCAACTTTCTGTATTCCCCGGCTTTTTCCACATGCAAAATTCCCCAGGCCAGCAAAAGAACAGTTCTTTTCCATGACTCAAGCATGCACAAAGTAAAAGTAGGAGCTGCTATAAAAAATAACTGGCAAGCTAGTGTTGCAGTTCAGCATGAGCTCCACCTTTGAATTTACTATATGAGTAAATTCTTAAACACGTCCGAAATTATCATTATGATAAATTCGCAGCACATTTTGAATTTATCATAATAATAAATTCGCGGCACTAACCCCTAACCACTAATCACCTTATCCTGACCAGTAATCCCTAACTCCTAACCCTAACTTTTTTAACCGTTTTAAATTTTTTTAACTTTCTTAAAAATCTAACTTTTTAAACTTTTTTGCTTTTTAAAACTCTTTTAAAACTTTTTTAAAAACTATTTTTTTGAAAATCTCTGTCTCTTACTGCAGTATTTCTGTTATTGTAGCGGTTATCAAATTATAGGGAAATACGACGACATAAGTTAAATATCAAAACTTTTATGTGTTTATATGCAGTGAATCAAACGAAAAATGCATCCTTTGTTACAATTATTTAAAATATTACAAAAATAATAAAACAACTAAATTTTATCGCCATATTTCTGAGATATACTGTTGCTCGAGTCAGGACTCGAGCCAGGACTCGAGCCAGGACTCGAGTCAGGACTCGAGCCAGGACTCGAGTCAGGACTCGAGCCAGGACTTCAGTCAGGACTCGATAAAAAAATGCGAACACACGGGGAATTGCCATTACCCAATGGTTTTGTTTCATAAGACACGTTACGCAGGCTAACTAAATGTTCTACTAAGTCTACTAGCAAATTAAATACAACCTTTCAATAATTACGCTAATCACCTTGTGTAATTTACCAATGAGAGCGAGGTTCCAAGACCAAAAAGTTAATTAGTATGTGTAATTATCGAAAGGGTGTATTTGGTAATACAGTTAGCCAGCGTGGCCGGCTCTTCTATAATACAGTTTGGTGATATTGGCGTCTATTACAGGAAAATAAGGCAGGGAGAATTATCCTACTCTTTGACGAATGCTAAGCGGCAATGAGCGGCAACAGGTATCGATATCTGTTTTGTAAAGAGCGAGAGACTGCTAGTGATGGGCAATACCAACTGTTTTAGTTCGATAAAATACTGGCCGGATATTTCCCCTTTTTGGATATCGATATTTGTGCAATATATCAAAGACAAACAACAATGGTATTGACTATTGTTTCATTCACTGTCTTCCGACGCTATAATAACCGTTACAGTTAGGGGCCGATTACATGGAGCATTTTCAACCCCGGGGTTGAACTCAGCCTTGTTTACCGGGTTGAAATTTCAGCCCTGTCTGTAATACAAAACTCTATCAAAATCAAACGCGCGATTACATGACAAAATTTTCAACCCAGGGCTGAGTTCAACCCCGAGGTTGAAATTTCAATGCTGCTTCAGCTAGCAGCCGGGTTGAAATTTCAACCCCAGGGTTGAACTCAGCCCTGGGTTAAAAATTTTGTCATGTAATCGTTTCAACCCAGGGCTGAAATTATCATGAGTTATTCGAGCATGCGTGGTAGTGACTATTTATTACAAGAAAACAAAATAAAGGCTTTTTACTTCCGCGAATCGATGCCAAGAACGTATAGTAGAACGTTTTGACCCCGGGGTTGAAATCGTCCATGTAATCGCAAAAAATTTCAACCCGGTTAACAGGGCTGAGTTCAACCCCGGGGTTGAAAATGTTCCATGAAATCGGCCCCTTAATAGCCAAAGTCAGATGAGATTGACAGCTCTGTATGTACAAATATACCAAATATCAACTTTCGTTCTTTAGTTTCTTTTATCGGATCTGGCGGGAAAAGGCG